TTGAATACAAAGGTGAATACAAACTCTCTGGTTATTTACAACAAAATGAGAAGAAAAAAATCAAAGTGGATGTCATAAAAAATCTGAAACTTGCTCTTAAACGTAGTGTAGCTAAAGCAAATAGAAGAAACATTGATGATGTAAGATATGAAAATAAAAATAATTTATAATTTATCAAGGGTTGATGAGGGTGGGAGGGAGGGAAAAAAAAGAGGAACCGATACCAAGGGCTCAAGTAGAAAGGTTTTGAAAAGGATGATGGCAACATATGTACAAATGTGCTTGATACAATTGATATATGAATTGTTATGTGAGATGTAAGCGCTCCCAATAAAATGATTTATTAATAATAATAAATGAAGCAAAAGAGATGAACAGAAAATTTCAAAAGACAGCTCAAGAAGACAAGATAGAATATTAAAATGAAATGTATAAAATCTGGAGTTAGAAAGCCAAAAAAAGAAGATCACACTCAATATACCTCAAGTTGAAAGAGCAGAAGAAAAAAATTCAAGCCTTGAGTTATAATACTGAAGGATTCTATGGCAAAATATTGAACAATGTAGGAAGAATCAAAGAAGATGGAGGGAATACATAGAGTTACCGACCATCCAGAGGAGCATGTAACCAAGACTCAATGGCACTGAAAGAAGTCTAAGCTGCAGTGAAGGCCTTAGTGCAAAGTCAGGCTCTATAAACTGATGGAAATGTTTCAACAAGCTGATGAAGTACTGGAAACACTAGCTTGTCTATGTCAAGAGACTTGGAAAACAGCGAGCTGTCTCACCAACTGGAAGAGCACCATATGTGTACTCATTTTAAAGAAAGGGGACATGACAGAATGGGAAAATTATCAAACAATATCATTCATGTCATATGTAAGTAAAATTTTGCTGAAGAAAACTCAAAAGGAGTTACAGCAGTACATAGATAAGAAGCTGTTAGAAAGTCAAGCCAGAGTGAGAGGAGGACATGGCACGAGGGAAGCCATTGCTTACAACAGATACCTTCTAGCTGGAAGCAGAGACTATCAGAAGGATGTTTACTCGTGTTTTATTGACTATATAAAGGCACTTGACTACATAGATAATAAAAACTATAGCTATCAATTCATTTGGAAACTGCATAAACTAAGAGGCCGTGGTTCAAATAGAGTAAGGGAATACTGTGTATTTTAAAATCAGGAAAGGTGTGCATCAGAATTTACCATACTATTTCATCTGTATGCTGAGCAAATAAATGAGAAATTGGACTACCTGAAGAAGAATGCAGTATGAGGAATGGAGCACATCTGTTAACAACCTGCAAAAAGCAGACTATTCTACCTTGCTTGCTGTAAGTGAGGAGAACTTGAAGATGAAGATCAAGGATTGCTGATGAAGATCAAGGATTGCAGCCTTCAGTATGGATTACAACTCAATGTAAAGAAAACCCCAAGTCTCACAACTGGACCATGTCATGAAATGTGGAGAAAACTGAAATTGTCAAGAAGTTGATTTTCCTTGAATTCACAATCAATGCTCCTGGAAGCAGCAGTCAAGAATTCAAATGACGTATTGCATTGGACAAACTGGCTGCACTACACCTCTTAAAAATGTTGAAAAGCAAAGGTGTCACTTTGAAAACTAAGGTGTGTGTAAAAGTTGGACAATGAATAAGGAAGACCAAAGAAAAGTCGATGCATTGAATTATGATGCTGGCAAAGAATATCAGAAGTACCATGGACTGCCTGAAGAACAAACAAATCTGTCTTAGAAGTACAGCCGGAATGTTCCATAGAAGTGAGGGTGGTGAGACTTTGTCTAAAGGACTTCGGACATGTCATCGTGAGGGAGAGATCAACCCCCAGAAAAGGACATCGCGCTTGGTAGAGTAGATGATCAGTAAAAAAGAGGAGCCGATCCCAAGAGTTCAAAAGAAAGTAAACGTCTAGAAAAGAATGATGGTAATATATGTACAAATATGTCTGATACAATTGATCTATGGATTGTAACAGGAGTTGTAAGAGCCCCCTAAAATTGATCTAAGAAAAATAAATCTAAACATACCCCAGGTTCTGTGCAAGCAAAAAAAAAAAGTAGTTGATCAGTGAAAAAGAGAAAGACCTTCCACAACATGGGTTGACACAGTGGCTCTGTAAAGCCAGATTGCCTCCGTGACTGGTTTCATGTTTCCTAGCAGTGCAAAGCAGGACATACCCTGAGACTGAGGCTAGCCAACCCACGGAGGGGAGGACACGATGAGCCCAACCGCCGAGGGGAGGACAGCACGGATAGGGATAGCGTGGGGAACTACACAAAGGACCAGACTGCCAACCTACCTCAAATGAGCCAATTAGTGGATTGACAGGAAGGGGGCTGGGAATGCCCATAAGGTATACCTTGTAAATAAATACTTCGGAATTTCTTTTGTTCAACTTTCTAGCCCAAGACTGCACATAGTTAAGCACCTGAGGACTAGAGCCCTGGCTTAAGCTAGCATAATAAAAGCCTCTTTGTTATAGCAGCTTTGTGTTTGATCTCCTTCCATTGAAGGGGAAATCGCTCTGTCCCTAACAGCTCCACCAATCAACTGGCACATAACAAAGACTGTGAGGATGGCACAGGACTGGGCGGTGTTTTCTTCTTTTGTGCACAGGGTTGCTATGAGTCCGAACCCACCCAATGGCATCTAACAACAACATATGGAGAAGACCCCCAAGAATCCAAAGGTCAATGACAAAATCCACAGTTGGATTTTTATACGTCAGCAGTGAGCACTGTGAAGAGGAAAGTAAGGAAAAAACCCATGTTAGAAGCACCTAAATGTCCAGGAATATAAAACTAGAGAGTGAAAGACGTGTACACTGTAAAACATTCCTGAAAGAAACTGATGAAAATCTAAATAAATCATGGTGCATTGGTGTTTCAGTGGGCGGATTCTCACCTTTCATGTGGGAGACTGGGTCAAAATGAGAAGCAATGAAACAACCCCAGACAAGACCTGTATGTTATGGAAGTTTGCATGCTTCTCTAGTTTCTGTAGTGCTTTTTGACTAAGATTCTCTAGAAAGGCAGGTCTGATGATCTACTTCTGGAAATGATTTGAGGTGAATCACAATGGCCCTATCTGCAACCAATCATGGGGATGACACAGGACTGGATGGTCAGTGCTTCTTCCGATGTGAGTCAACTCAATAGCAGTGGGTTTGGAACAAGGAAAAGGTGCCCTAGGGGCACAGTGGGTGGTGCAGTGGATTCCTGACTGCAAGATCAGCATTTCAGATGCAACAGTCACTCTGCAGGAGAAAGATGAGACTGTGCCTGTAAAATTTCACAGTCTTGGAACCCCAAAGGGTAGTTCTACTCAGTCCTATATGGTGAGGATAAGCCAGAACTAAACTCAACAACACAGGAGTTTTAGAGTCCTTCTACAAGAAATTACCACAAACAACAGATGCTTATTGTCTTATAGTTCTGAAGTCTACAATTCTGAAATTAGTCTTGTCAGCTGCTGTAGACTTGATTACAGCTCACAGCCAACCCCATGTGGTACCAAGGAGACCTGCTCTGTAGGATATTCTCAGCTATGATCATAATGGAAGCAGATTACCAGGTCTTTTCTTCCACGCACCACTGGGTGGGTTAGAGTCACCCACCTTTCATTGAAGAGCAGAGGGCAAACAATTGGCATCACCGAAACCCAAACCAAATCCATCACTACTGTGTTGATACGGACCCAAAGCAACCTATAGGACAGAGAAGAACTACTCCCCGAGGCTTCCAAGGCTGTCATCTGTATAGAAACAAACCAACACTTTCCTTCTGCCTGCTCAGTGGCTGGTAGGCTTGAACTAGCACTCTTTCAGCGAGCAGCTGTGTTGTGCGACCTCACAATGGCACCTTGGCACCCACCACCCAGTGACCTTGAAATGAATCTCATGGGGTCGAATCCAGCTGTTGACAGAGCTGTGCTTTTTCCAGAGGCTCTAGGGGAGGATCTGTTACCTTGCTTTCTCAGCACGTAGGCCTGTATTTCTTATATACTTTTTCACTTGGAGGTGGTTGGGGTTTTCTTCATCTTCAAAGCCAGGCCCATAGCATCTGCTTTCTTTGACTGCTTCTGCTTCTGTCTCAAATGTCATTCTGCCTTTCTTATAAAAGGATCCTTGCAATTCCATTGGGCTCACTCAGATAATTCCGGATATTTCCCCATCTCAAGATCCTTAGCTTAATCACATCTGTGTAGACACTTTCCCACATAAAGTAATAGTCACAGGTTCCAGGGATTAGAACATATGTGTCTTTAGAAGCCAATGAACATGTGTCTCTTCACACCCCACTATCTCCTCAACAACATCCTGCACCCTCTAAACTTGAGCTACATTGCTCTCCCTGCGTCCCTTGAACACACCATACCTCCTTCACCACATTGCTAGGTGCCGCTGAGGTCTTCCAACTCTTAGCAACCCTGTGTACAACAAAACAAAACACTGCCCCTTCCTCACAAGTGCTATGTTTGATTCCATTGTTGCAGACACTTCACATATGCCGGGAAACAAAAGAATTTGAATTTGAATTCCCCGGGGTAACGTGGAGGAGAGAGCAGAACCAGGTAGGAGCCGTGTTGGTTAATGTGCTCTGGGAGAGATGCCTTGGCTGATAGGGATGAGGTGAACTGACTTGAGGCTATCCTCGGTTTCCCATGAAATCCTCCTTCAGTCTGATTGCTCCCCAGGACTTCTGTGCAAGTGTGCAACAGCTGGATTCTGGCCCAAGAGGCTGTGAAGTGAAGAGGGGCAAGAGGGGAAACAACAGGTACGGCAGGCCTGGAAGAAGTGGCCTGGCAGAGTCTATGAGGTAAGAGGACCCAAAATCACTTATCTTGGTCCTCTGACTTTACCCCAAAGGTAGTGTTCTGACAATCCAAACTACCCACCAACTAGCTGCAGAGGGGAACTTGGTAGGGGGAGATTATTCATTCTGGGCTGCCGAGGACGATACGCCCAAATGGTGACTTACAGCTGTAGACAGTCGTGAAGCCAGTGTCATTTCCAGGTTCCCCTTCAGGCCCACCAGGGGCGGCACCAGTGTCATGAGCTCTTTCACCTCCACAAACACAGGCCAGTACTGGTGAGAAAGAACAAGGAGATAAAGCCACATGCAGATAATGGCACATCTCTGGACATTCCTTAAGAGTTTCTTCTCGTTCCCTAAAAATGAAGAAGTAAGACGAAGGAGTTTCTTAAATGGTTGCAAACTAACAACAAAATAATGATAAAGCTGTCAACCAAGTGGTACCTCCCTGACACCTCCTTGTGGATGTAGCATTTTGTATTAGAGCAAAATAAAACAGAGATAATTCTTTCCTGCTTGCTGGGACTCTGGATATGCCTCTAAGGGTGGCCCCTGCTATGCTTCCACTGACCTTGGATCTACATAACTCTGCAACCACTGGCTTGTGATCTCAGCTTCATTCACCTGCAGCTCCAGGAGTCTGAAGAGGGCCCTGTCTGGCATTGGACGGATGGACTTGAGGTGAACTGGGCTGGGGTGTCCTACTGATGTAAAGTTGTTCCTTAATATAAAGTTTTTCTTTTACATGTCACTGGTTTGTTTCTCTAGACCCAGCTTAATACAGTAGCGGAATGGACCCACAATATGCTATTTATAAGAGACATACCTTACATACAAGGCAAGAATATCCTAAGAATAGAAAATAATGTATCAAGTTCATGTCAATCAAAGGAGAAGTGGCAATACTGATTTCTGATAAAATCGACTTTAAGGCAAAATCCCAGTAGTAGAGGTAAAGGAGGGCATTATTAATCAGTGTCAATTGAACAAGAAGACATAACCATAATTAACATTTATGCATTCAATAAAAAGCCAAAATACATGAATAAAATTCTTAAATAGTTTAAGAGAAAAATCGATAGCTCTACACTAATACTAAGAGACTCTAACACACCACTTTCAATGAAAGATAGAACAACTTGAAAGCAGCTCAGTAAAGACAGACTGAACACAATCAACCAATTAGACCTTGTAGACACATATCGAAAAATCGTCCCCACAACCCAATATATATTCTTCCCCAGTGAACACAGAACATCTCCAGAATAGACCGTATGTTAAGCCACAAAACTGGATAATACAAAGCATCTTTTTAGATTACAATGTTATAAAATTATAAACCAACAAGGGCAAAAACAAATTCATGAAAACTGAATAACTTGCTTAACAACTATTGTGTAAAAAAAGAAATTTAAAAGGGAAATTAAAAAGTTCTTTGAGTCAAACGAGAACAAAAATACAATATACGAAACCTTTATGATAGCACAAAAGCAGTACTCAGAGGGCAATTTATAGCAATAAATACACACATCAAAACAGACCAAAGACTTCTCTTTCTGTGCTCAGAGCAGCCATGTCTTGTGGCCCTAGGAAGCATATTAAGTGCTTAGCTATCCCAAAGCATTAGCTGCTGGACAAACTGACTGGTATGCTTGCTTCTTATCTGCTCACTGGACCCCACATGCTGAGAGAATGTCCCCCACTGATCATTTTCTTAATAAACAGACTTAAGTGTGCTCTGACAGGAGAAAAAGTTAAAAAAAAAAAATCATGCAGTGGTCCATTAAGATTGATGACAAGGTCTGAATTGATAGAGCCTATTGCTAGTTTTATGGGTGTCGTTAACATTGGCAAGACCAGAGAGAATTTCCACCTGATCTATTACACCAAGGATCACTTTGCTGTTCATTGTATCACCGAAGAGGTGAAGTGCAAGTTGTGCAAAGTAAGAAAGACCTTTGTAGGCACAAATGGAATCCCTCATCTGGTGACCTATTATGTTTGTATCATCCGCTATCCTGATCCCCTCATCAAGGTGGATAACACAATTCAGATTGATTTGTAGACTGAAAATATTACTAATTTCACCAAGTCCAACACTGGTAAGGTGACTGCAGGTGCGACCTTGGGAAGCACTGGTGTGATCACTAGTAGAGAGAGACATCCTGACTCTTTTGATGTGGTTCAGGTGAAAGATGCCTTTCTAACATTTTCATGATTGGCAAAGGTAACAAACCATGGGTTCCTCTTCTCTGAGGAAAAAGTATCCATCTCAGCATTGGTGAAGTGCAAGACAAGACACTGGCTGCCAAACAGAGCAGTGGGTGAAATGAGTTCTAGGTAGCGTGGATGAAGAAATCTTTAAGACAATAAAGCATACTTTTTTTTAAAAAATTAAAGAACTGAAATGTACACCTGAAACCAACATCTCCAACAATGAGAAAACGAGCAGCAAAAGATGCCTATGGCCACCCGAAGAAAAGAAATCATAAAGGTCAGCAGAAATAAAGGGAACAAAAACCAGCAAAGCAATAGACTCCACAAGACAAGATGTTGGTTCATTGGATGGATTAGCAAAATGGACAAACCACTGTAAACCTAACAGAAAGAAAGAATGAGAAGATGCAAATAACATGAATAAGAAACAAAAGGGAGAGCATCATAACAGAACAACAAAAATTAAAAGTATAATGACAGACCACTATGAAGATCTGTACTCCAACAAACGAGAACACCTAGAAGACATGGCCTATTTCTAGACACACTTTACCTATGTGAACTAACAGAGATTGAAGTAGAATATTCGAGAAGATCCATAACAAAAGAAGAAAACAAACAGATCATTAAAAAAAAAAGTTCTAGTCCAGACAACTTTGCTGGGGAATTCTACCAAACATTCAGAGAACTGACATACTATAAAGATTAACATAAATATGTAGTTATGAGTATTTTATAGTACTTACCTTAGACAACTGATTGAAGAGCAGTCAAAAAAAATTTTTATTTTTTTGGTCTTTTTAGAATATACATTTATTTGCTGACTAGGTTTTCTACTTAGTGCCGCACGTCACTAAGCTGTAAGTTTAAGGAGTGTAAGGAATTTGTCAGTCTTGTCCAACACCTTATCCTAAGTGTCTAGAAAACTGGCTGACACATTAAAAAGCCACCAAAACTTATAATTAAGATGACACAACTGTAAAAATCTATTCGTTAGAATTTGGAATGACGAAGTATGAATCTAGAAAAATTAGAAATCAGCAAAAATGAAATGGACTACATAAAGATTTATATCCTAGGCAATAATGAGCTGAAACCAGCTGGTACTGATCATTTTAAATCAGACAATCCTAAGGTTTACTCTGCTGGGAATGACAAATTCAAGGGAATTTGCATTGCATTGCATTCATTGCCAAAAAGGACATTTCAAGATCTTCAAATACAATGCTGCCTATGATAGAATAACATGCATACAAGGAACATCCAATCAATACAACTATTAGTCAAACTGATGCACAAACCACTAAAGCCAATGATGTGAAAAGTGAAGAATTCTACCATGTCTTCAGTATGAAATTGAAGAAATATGCAATCAGGATGCACTGTTAATTATAGCTGATTGGATTTTGGGAGTTGGAAACTAAAAGGAAGGAACAGTAGTTGGAAAATATGTCATTGGTGATAGAAATGAAGCTGGAGTCCACATGATAGAATTCTGCAAGACCAATGACTTCCTCATGGCAACAACACAAATGATGACTATACACATGAACATCTCCAGATGGAATACACAGAAATCAAACTGCCTACATCTGTGGGAAGAGATGATGGAGAAGCGCAGTATCAGCAGCTAAAATGAGGCCAGGGGCTGATTGTGGAATAGATCATCAATTACTCCTATGTAAGATCAGGCTGAAGAAGAAGAAAATGAGAACAAGTCCACATTAGCCCAAATAGAACCTTGAGTCTATCCCACCTGAACTTCAGAACATCTCAAGAACAGTGTTGAAGAACTTCAAACATAAAGAAAGCAAAAGGTCACTAAAAATGACAAGAACGCAAGAAAGAAAAGATCAAAGTGGATTTCAGAAGACACTGAACATTGCCCTTAATCATAGAGTAGCTAAAGCAAATGAAACAAATTATGAAATATGAGTTGAACAGAACATTTCAAAGGGCAGCTAGTGAAGACAAAGTAAACGTATTATAATGTGCAAATACCTGGGGCTAGAACATTAAAAAGGAAGAAAATGCTCAGCTTATCTTAAGCTGAAAAAAAAACAAAGAAAAAAAGTCATGCCTTGAGAGTTGCATTATTAAAAGATTCTATGTGTAAATTATTGAACGATACAGAAAGCATCAAAAGAAGATAAAGGGAGTACACAGAGTCACTATGTCAAGAAGACCGAATCAACATTCAGCCATTCCAAAAGAGAGCATATGATCAAGAATTGATGCTACTGAAGGAAGAAGACCAAGCTGCTCCAAAGGTACTGGCGAAAGAAAAAGCTCCAAGAATTGACAGAACCCCAACTGATATGTTTCAACGTGCTGATAATGCACTGGAAGCACTCATCCACTGGGGGGTGGGGGTGGGGGGGTGGGTTCAGATGCACAGGTATTCCCTCCCCTGAAGGCAATCAGTTGCCAGACTGCTGTCTCATCCCACCACAGGGGTGGGCCTGCTCCCTGCCTCTGGGGACAATGGACAGGCTCCTGTAGGAGGAGTTTTCACCCTACTGCTAATGGTTCTGATGGAGACCCAGAGACCATCCCCTAGACCACCCCCTCATTGTTGTGTAACCTATAGTGCAGCTCCTCCTTGTGACATATGTCTCTACCTGTAATTAGTGGGCTGGAATGCCCCCAAAAGGTATATAGGCGTGGGTCAGCAATATAGAGCTCTCGGACCTCTCAGACTCTCTCTGGCTCCCCTCTCTTCCCCTTCTCCCTGTTCCCTTGCCCTCCTTCCCTTCCCCCTCTCTCCACGTGGACCACCAAGCTGGGCTGAGGTGAGCAATGCTACCATGTAATGTGTCTGACTGTATTATTGTAATATCTCTCATGCTCTCAATGACTTTAATATAATACTTATATATCTCAACCGTACAATGTGCATTACTGAACCCAGAAGTAGTATTACTGAACCAGTGAGTTCTAGTAGCGGGTGGGGCTGGCACCCCACTCCCCCGTGCCACTTTTAATTTAATACTACAATTCACCTATACCAAGAAATTTGGAAGACTGGAAGAGATCCATATTTGTACTCATTCCGA